CCAGTGCAGACTGGAAGTATGGTCCCAGTGCAGACTGGAGGTGAGGTCCCAGTGCAGACTGCAGGTGAGGTCCCGGTGCGGACTGGAGGCGAGGTCCCGGTGCGGACTGGAGGTGAGGTCCCGGCGCGGACTGGAGGTGAGGTCCCGGCGCGGACTGGAGGCATGGTCCCAGCGCGGACTGGAGGTATGGTCCCAGCACAGACTGGAGGTGAGGTCCGCCACAGACTGCTTAAAAGTCTGTAATGCTGAACATTTCATTTCTTTATTTTTCTGATTTATTCCTCAGATTTCGTATGTAAGATGGTGGTGTAAATGGCGACATTGTAAATATTTCATTGCGCTTATGTGAGTGCATGTGACAATAAACCCAATTGTAATTCTAATACAGATACATGGGAATACCATCCCCTGCAAGTTCCCCTCCAAGCCACTCACCGTCCTGAATTAAGAACATGAGAACATAAGCAATAGGAGCAGTAGGCCATTCTGTCACCCAGGCCTGCTTTGTCATTCATCAACATCACAGTTGATCAATCACAGGCATCAACTCCTCTTTCATGCCAGTAATGTTGATATATATCACTGTTCCTTCACAGTCGCTGTGTCACAGTGCTGGAACTCCCGCACTAACAGCATTGTGGATGAACCTATACCAAAAAGACTGAACACTTCAAGAAGGCAACTCACAGCCACCGATTCAAAGGCAAATGGTGATGGGCAATAAGTGCTAACACAGTCAGCAAAGTCTATATCCTATGAAGGAATATTTAAAAACTTAGGTATCCTTTGCATTGATGGCACATTGTCTAATGTAAGGTTTTCTTCTGAAGGAGGAGATTCCACTGCACTGACCTCTTTGTATGATTATGCATTTGCTTTTTGCTAGTTCTGCACATATTCTGGAAATGATTTATAGTTTTTCAGATGTAATGTTATTCTGTCAGGGCTGGGCACTGCTTTTGTCTTTGAGGCTGTGTTGTTCACAGCACAGACACTGACTCTCAGCATTTGACTCTGACTGTCAGCATTTGCTGCTTTTTCTACTCTGTGTTGTCTTGTAATGTACGACTGTCCAGAGTTTATATGTACAAAGTGGATAGGTTCTGTTGGTCTCCAGTGATAAGGTTGTCCTCTTCCCTGAAGATATATTGACCAGTTAGACATAATTACAAACATTATGAAGAGAAAAGATGACATGTCTGTCTGCATTGATATCTTGTGTGATACTGCCTCTTCTCCACCAAGTCTGAGCAGCATCATCCGATTAGGTGGAGCTAAATGTTACCTTCAACATGAACTCTTTCAGAACCATCATCTTATACAACAGATTACAAAATAGGGAGAGGCAAGGCCGGGGAGAATGACAATTTTACAATCAAGCAATTGGTGGACTGGGTCAGTAAGGACACTGTCAATTAGAGATGCAAGATCTGTTGAAGATATGTTACAGACAGCAGAGCTTAGGATGAGCTGGTGCTTGTGGAGCATAGGATGGGATGTTTAAGGGAGGATTGAAAAGTTACACAAAAGGCAGGGGAGCACACAAGAATCATTCTTACCTGGTCATCAGTGAGTAAGATGAGCCGAGTTACAACCACATTCACAATGTTTCCTATACTGGAGTCTTGCAAAAGTTTGGCAACCTGACCTCCAGAAAACAAAAGAAAGAAACAAACAGTCTTAAAAATGAAACTGGTACCAGATGATGCTTCTAGGCTCACAACTGACCCTAGCACAGAATATTTTTTAAAGCTTTAATGAGGATATTGTCCAGAAAAACTAATACTGCATCTGCAGTTAAAGCATAGATTGGCTTGCATTTTGTGCATTTTGATTAGAGAACAAGCCTACATTTATCGTTATATTCTATGTCCCTCACACAGCCATTATCTATAACATGTACCCAATAGAACAATCAGTTCTTTCGTCTTCCCCCCTGTCTAATTTTAAACTGCAAAAATCAATCAATCTTATGATCTGGATCATTGATTTTGCCTGGCACTGAGATAAAAGTACTGTAAGCAGAATTATTTTCTACATTCAACAATTTTAAAATCAAAAAGCAGTGACTAGGAAATACAAATAAAATATATGTATAATGTATAAAATACAATGGTGTGCTCAGTAACTGTGAGACATAATATCAAGGATGAAAAGGGTGCATATGGACAACTAGTTACTGTATGGAAATGTCTACTCAACACAACATTCCTTGACAAAAGAATTACACTTTCTTTAATGTATAAATGCTTACTGTTCTCTTAGTGCTGGGACGAAAATGCTCGAGATGCAACAAACCAAAAACTGTGAATTGATTCTATCAATCTCAGTCCGTATTGTCCACAATCACTTTCATTACGGCTCAGAAAGCAGGCATTTTATGAAGCAAAAATAATTTAATGTATTAGAAAAGACTTGGAGAACAGTGACTGGGATAATGTCAAGTCTAAATTACAAAGAAAAACTCAATAATACTTTAAAATAATATTTGATTTGATTTGGTTTATTGTTGTCACGTGTACCGAAATACAGTGAAAAGTGTTGTTTTGTGTGCTGTACAGACAGATCATACTATACAAAGTGCATCGGGTAGCAGAACAGAGTGCAGAGTACACTCTGAGAGAGAGGGATCAATATGAACATTTAAGATGTCCGTTCAAAAGTCTTGAACAACAAGCAGACACAATGAAAAATTCCTCAGTTTGAATAAACCTGTATGCAAGATAGTGGACATGTGGAACAGTCTAAGATGGAAATGAATTCTCACGCTTAAAAAGAATTTGGTTCAATATTTAACAAGTTCGGTCTTGAATATAGAGATATTAAGGTAGGGAGAAGGAAATTAGAATTCTCTGAAACTCCCAAGTGAGAAGATATCCAGGCTGTGATAATCAGAAATTCACTTTAATCGGTAAAAGCTGGATGATGTCTCTGCCATGAGTACCACACAAATGCAGTTGATGGTCCATTGTGTCTGAATGAATCCAGCATTGGTTGCAAATCTGACAGCTTGGGAACTTCGGCTCTCTAGCTCCATGGTGCACTGGACAAACTGTACCACTTTCTTGTAAAGGGAAACTCACTAATGCATTGTGTATTTGCTTTTGCGAGATACCACACATATCCCCAGTTTAAGTTTGGTTTTGAATGTCATGTTGCCGTGATCTTCAGTGCCACAGACACAGCACTGCCTTCCAAGCCACATGGCTGATGTTCTACCTGCAAGAGGTAGCGTATGTAATTAACAATGTCCCCTGGTCATGAGAATATTTCTCTAGCACTGCCTTTCAATCACCCACAGCAGGCTGCAACAGCTTTGGTACCCACTTTTCCAGTACACTGCTCAACAGCCTTGAGGACATGGTTCCCCTCTTCATGGGAGGCAATGGCCTAGTGGTATTATCACTGGACTGGTAATCCAGAAGCCCAGATAATGTTCTGGGGACCCAGGTTCAAATGCCACCACGGCAGATGATGAATCCATTGCCAATTGTTGGGAAAAACCCATCTGGTTCATTAATGTCCTTTAGGGAAGGAAACTGCCATCCTTACCTGGTCTGGTCTACATGTGACTCCAGACCCACAGCATTGTGGTTAACTCTTAACTGCCCTCTGGGCAATTAGGGATGGGCATAAATGCTGCCTTGCAAGCGACACCTTCATCCCGTGAATGAATAAAGGAAAACAAACTGTAACTATTCTTCCTCTTCCTCATTCTTCCATGTGTAAGATCTTTGATATTTACATTCTTTTATGAATGGAAAGCTAGTAGTTCAATCCGACTCTTGGGGGCTTGCTTATTCTCTGAAGAATAATCCTGCAAAACTTGGACGCTACAGTCTGCAGAATGGTTTCATCGTCATGTCCTCAACTTTCAGATGCTCAGGCCTGCTGCAGTGCATGGGGAATAAATCCCCCCACCAGCATCACAAACAGTCTTAGCTGTTCTTCTTAGTGTGTAATGAATCAGGGAATAAGGTTGTGCTGTTGATGTTAGAAATTGACAGAGCTTTATTCTGCAGTAAGTGTTTCCCTTCAGTGCTAAGGCCTTAACTCAGTGCTGACGCATTCTTCAGTTTCCATTTTGACTTCTTCGGTTTGTTTTGTGCAGGATCACATCTAGACATATCTCAGGCCCTCCTATTTGTACTGCATATTCCCTGCAAGACTTTATTTTGCAGGATAATTAAGGAGAGAGATATGTAGCTGAAAATTTTTCATTTAATTAATTCACACTCTACCCTCCTTCTCTACAGTATATCTCTCCTTCCATCACTTCAGATAGCTTTTTCCTTTCCTATGGCGCACCTGCTTTGGCCTTTTCAATCTCTCCCTGTGACTATCAGCCCTTTAACTAGCTTCCTTGATATTCCTGCTCTTGTTTTTGACCCAGCTCCCCTCCAACTCCCCATTTCCAACTTTAGCCATACCCAGCCCCTTATTCAATTCCCTGGTTCTGTTCCCGTCCCCAGCACTTCTAATATCCCAATGTATTCCCAGCCAAAATATTCAACACCCACCCTTCTGCATACCCCTAACCATCACTGTGATACTCCCATCTGTGTACTCGCTTACTGTCTCAATTCCTCAGCGTTCTTCCAGTGCGCCCAATAACCACACCCCTTAAATTCAATTCTCTAGAATTCGAATTAAGTTTTATTGTCACATGTACTCAAGTACAGGGATAAATGAGTATAGTGGAAAGTGTACAAAGTCACCACTTTTGGCGCCATCTTAGGTACAAAGATACCTAGGTACGCAGTCTCAGGTATAAATTAGAAAACCAAAGAAATAAAGGTAAAAGTTTAGCATTACAGTCTTTCTAAAGCAGGTGAGGCCCAGTGTGGACTCCCTCGAGGCCAGGGGTTCATGTTGGGCTTCACCTCAAAGTCAGGGATCCACACTCAGCTTCACCTTGAGGTCAAGGGTCCACATTCAGCTTCACCTCAAGGTCAAGCGTCCACACTCAGCTTCACCTCGAGGTCAACGGTCCACACTCGGCTTCACCTCAAGGTCAAGGGTCCACACTCGGCTTCACCTCGAGGTCAGGGATCCACACTCGGCTTCACCTCGAGGTCAGGGATCCACACTGGGCTTCACCTCGAGGTCAGGGATCCACACATGGGTTTCACCTCGAGGTCAGGGGTCCACACATGGGCTTCACGTCGAGGTCAGGGGTCCACACTGGGCTTCACCTCGAGGTCAGGGGTCCACACTGAGCTCCACCTCGAGGCTGCAAGTCTATGCTGGGCTTCCTTGGGGCCGGGAGTCCATCAAATCTGCACTGGCTGAACTCTCCACCACTGATGGTGTCCGAGGAATGGAGGTAAGTAGAGAGAAAAAAAGAGAGAGAAAGAAAATGAAAAAAGAGAAAAAAGAAGAAAAGAAACAGATGGAGCGGACAGGCTCTGGCTTAGGAGCTGACTCCACTGCTGAAGCAAGAAGCTGAAACTGTGATTAATCATTATCTACCATCTCTTCCTACCTAACCTACCTGTATCTGAGCATATAGAGTTGAGTTCCCTTTTGAGTAAAGCCCTGTTTGCCTGTCCTGGCCAGGTTTGCTGGCATCAAGTAGTGTAGCTTCCTCGCTTGGGCAGGCTTGTTGACCCAATCATTCCTCCCCCTTGCACTAAAGTGCTTCAGAACAGCAAGCAAGATCTCATATGACAGGTTTCTCATGAGCTGGTTGACCAAATCAGGCTTCCCCTCTTACATTGTAAGCATTTGAGCAAAGAAACAGCTTGTTCAAAGAAAGAGTGAACAGGTTTGTACTCTTTGGAGCTGCAAGAAGAAGTCTATTCCAACAGGCAACACACATACACTATATATGATATAACCAGCTGTACAGCTGGATGAACACAGCAGGCCAAGCAGCATCATAGGAGCAGGAAGGCTGATGCTGCTTGGCCTGCTGTGTTCATCCAGCTCTACAGCTGGTTATCTCAGATTCTCCAGCATCTGCAGTTCCTACTATCTCTGATACACTATATATGATATATTGGGTTGGGGAACACAGTGTGTTTCTGTTTTTGCCTAATGAGGTTTCACCCACGAATGTAATTGCAGTGGGAGGGGGTGTTAATCAGTATTCATACCTTGCTAATGAATGTGGAAACGAAAGGTGACCTGCCTGAAAGATTCTGGGAATTTAATAGAAAATGGTGGCTCAGTGGTTATCATTGCTGCCTCACTGCACCAGGGACCTGGGTTCAATCCCACGCTTGGGTGACTGTTTATGTGGAGTTTGCACATTCTCCCCATGTCTGCGTGGGTTTCCTCTGGGTGCTCTGGTTTCCTCCCACAGTCCAAAGATGTGCAGGTTAGGTGGATTAGCCATGCTAAATTGCCCGTAGTGGTCAGGGAGGTATAGATTAGGTGGGTTATAGGGGGGTGGGTCTGGGTGGGATGTCTGAGGGTCAGTGTGGACTTGTTGGGCCGAAGGGCCTGTTTCCACACTGTAGGGATTCTATGATTACCCTTTGAAATTTTGACTCCCACTCAGTTAGCTCCCCTGCTTACCTTTCAAAATCTCTAGATAAACCCGAAAGATTCTCCCAGTAATTTGGTGCTAAGTTACATTTCTTCTCTTTTCCTGTAACATATCAAACTATTTATCCTTAAACATAAGGCAAGCAATGTGGTTTTTGAGACTAACCCTGACTGACAAAAGAATCTTCCTTTTTCATCTGATGTGGACATGCCTGGAACGATCAGCATTTATTACCCACCTCTCAATCCCTCTGACAAGGTGATGAACCACCCTCTTGAATTGCTGGAGTCAATCCTGTCACGACCCGGGGTACATCACAGCAGCTTCCTGGACATTTCAGGCTACAGTTGAAAGTCAGTCAGATTGCCGTGGATCTGGCATGACACAGCCCAGACCCATAAGACATAGGAGCTGAATTTGGCCACTTGGCCCATTGAATCTGCTCCATCATTTGATCATGGCCGATATATTTCTCAACCTCATTCTCCTGCCTTCTCCCTGCAACCCTGGATCGCTTTACTAATCGAGAACCTATCTATCTCTGTCTTAAACACACTCAATAACTGGGCCTCCACAACCCTCTGCAGCAATGAGTTCCACAGATTAATCACCCACTGGCTGAAGAAATTCCTCCTCAGCTCAGCTCTAATGGGCTTCACTCTGAGGCAGTGCCTACTCTCCTCTGTGACTGGAAACATCTTTTCCATGTCTACTCTATCCAGGCCCCTCAGTATTCTGTAAGTTTCAATCAGATTCCCCCTCATCCTTCTAAACTCCATCAAGTACAGACCCAGATCCTCAACCACTCCTCATACGACAAGCCCGTCATCGCCAGGACCATTTTTGTAAATCTCCTTCGGTCCCCTTCCAATGCCAGCACATCTTTCCTTAGTTATGGGCAAAAAACTGTTCACAATATTCCAATTGTGGTCTGACCAGAGCCTTATGCAGACTCAGCATATATTTCTGCTCTTGTATTCTAAACCTCTTGAAATGAATGTTAACATTGCACTCGCCTTCCTAACTGCCATAATGAACCTGCACGTTAACTTTAAGAAATCCTGAACTAGAACTCCCTAGTCCCTTTGTGCTTCAGCTTTCCGAAACCTTTCTCCATTTAGAAAAGTGCCCATGTCTCTATTCTTCCTACCAAAGTGCATAACTTCACACTTACCCATATTGTATTCCATCTGGCACTTCTTTGCCCATTTTCCTATATGTCCAAGTCCTTCTGCAGTCTCCCCACTTCTTCAACGCTACCTGTCCCTCCACCTATCTTTATGTCAGTTGCAAACGTAACAATAATGCCCTTAGTTCCTTCGTTCACGCTGTTAATTTATAGTTGTGGTCCCAACACAACTGCAGAAAAGGGCCCATATCCCTGCAGAACTTGAATAGTCACTGGCTAGTATCCTGAAAAGGACCTGTTTATCCCTTCTCTCTGCCTTCTGCCAGCCAACCAATTCTCTATCCAGGCCAGTACTTTGTCCCTAACACCATGGGCTCTTGTCTTATTTAGCAGCCTACTATGTAGCACCTTGACAAAGGCCTTCTGAAAATCCAAACAGATTACATCAGCTGGTTCTCCTTTGTCTAACTTGCTGGTTACTCCTCAAAGAATTCTAACAAATTTGTCAGGCATGACCTCCCCTTGGTGAAGCTGTGCCTACTCAACCCTATTTTATCATCCACTTCCAAGTACGCCACAATCTCATCTGTAATAACGGAATCTAAAATCTTACTAACGTCCGAGGTCAGGCTAACTGGCCAACAGTTTCCTGTCTTCTGCCTCCTTCTCTTCTTAAACAGGGATGCTACATTAGCCATTTTCCAGTCCTCTGGGAACCCTCCCTGAATCCAGTGATTCCTGAAAGATCACCACCAATGCCTCTCCTCAGCTATCTCATAGATCATAGAATCCCTACAGTGTGGAAACAGGTCCTTTGGCCCAACAAGTCCACACCGACCCTCAGAACTTCCCACCCAGACCCATCCCCTTAATCTACACATCCCTGAACACTATAGGCAATTTAGCATGGCCAATCCACCTAGCCTATATATCCTTGGACTGTGGGAGGAAACCGGAGCACCCAGAGAAAACCCACGCAGACACGGGGAGAATGTGCAAACTCCACACAGACAGTCACCTGAGGGTGGAATTGAACCCGGGTCCCTGGTGCTGTGAGGCACTGTGCCACCCTTCAGAACATCAGGTTGTAGTCCATCTGGACCAGGTGGTTTATCCACTTTCATATCTATAAGATTCCCCAGTACCTTCTCCTTAGTGATGGCCACTACACTCATCTCTGGCCCTTGAATCTCTTGAAGTTCTGGTATGCTGCTGGTGTCTTCCATTTGCCAGCATTTGGCCCATATCCCTCTAAACCCTTCCTATTCATATACCCATCTAGATGCTTTTTAAATGTTGTAATTGTACCAGCCTCCACCACATCCTCTGACAGCTCATTCCATACCCTCTCCCTGAAAAAAATGCCTCTTAGGTCCCTTTTATATCTTTTCCCTCTCACCTTAAACCTATGCCCTCTAGTTTTGGACACCCCAACTCCAGGGACAAGACCTAACTATTCACCCTATCCATGCCCCTTACGATTTTATAAACCTCTATAAGGTCACCCCTCAGCCTCCGATGCTCCAGGGAAAACAGCCCCAGTCTATTTAGCCACTCCCTATAGCTCAAACTATCCAACTCTAACAACATCCTCGTCAATCCCTTCTGAGCCCTTGCAAGTTTAACAACATCTTTCCTATAGCAGGGAGACCAGAATTGAACGCAGTAATTCAAAAGTGGCCGAACCAATACCTTACTGTCATTGTGCATCAGAGGGTTTTTATTTCATCCATTTGTGGGATGTGGGCATCGCTGGCTGGCCAGCATTTATTGCCCATCCCTAGTTGCCCTTAAAAGTCATTGAAGGATTATTGAATGTCATGGATGGGTATCAATCAAGTGGGCTGCTTTGGCCAGACTCATGTTAAGCTTTGAGTGTTGAAAGTAGCTGCACAAAAAAAATTGAAAGGGAAAACTGACAGTGAACAATGACTCAATGTTAAAAGAAGCCTTCATTTTGGTTGGTGGAGACATACTAAATATAGGTAACTGAACCACTTATATTTTAAATTAAACCTGAGATTATAGAACAATTTTCTAATTCATCTCACTATTTTAATTCTAGAGTCAGAGTTTAAAACTCATTCCTAGTTATTTATTGAAACTATCCATTTTCTTTGAAAATCTAATAGATTTAGTGCAGCAGCTTTATTTGTATGATAAATGTGCCTTATTATTTCCCAGAAATTGCAATGTACACATTGACTTCCTTACTTTTTGGCACCAGTGTGCAATTTTAAGCCTATTCTTGGTGTAGAAGTTGACTCCCCATTTTTAAGCTAATAAATGCCTAGGTCTATACTTGCATTAGGCGTTAGCCTGAAGCTTTCAGCTCCAAGATGCATGTTTAAGGCTGTACCTGCCCTCTACCTTCTCATAACCGGCCACACCAAGCAGATTAAACACAACAAACAAAATCGGCTCCTACTGTACAACACCAGTGCTTCACATTTTATTCTTGGATAAAAATCACCCACATTTTTGGAAGGACTTTTTGACGTTTAAAAAATTATCTTATATGCTGCAACCTATGGTAGTTTCACAGCTAATAAAT